GAGAAAAGAGATAAAACATCTTTGTGGAGCTGACTTTCTACTGTCATGTTCATAACAAGCTGTTAACTCCCACAACTGTGGAATTTAGAAGCAACCTATTACTTCCCCTGAAGAGAGCTGACTAAACCAACCAGACAGCTACTTAGGCCACTGAGCTCATCTGGAAAAAAAAAATCTCCAGCATATAAACAACATGAAATATAAATTATTTACAATTACATTGTTTATCATAAGAATTGCCTACATTTTCATTTCAGTTGCTTATTAACTTTCTAGCACAAGTTAAAATAAGCAATTTGCTAAGAAAATGCAAGAGATTAGGTAAGAACGCATACAGTTGCAAAATTTTGTTCCTCAAATCTACTAACAGTAAATGTAATTAACAGAGTCCACAGAAGTACTGGAATATGGAAAAAATCCCAATACTATGAGAGCATAAAAGTAAACTGAAAGTGAAGTTCTTTTTACACGAAGTAAACTGTCTGAATTACTGCATAACATCTTTAGCAGTTCCTCTCACTCTTATGACCTGAGGAGCATACTAACCTCAATTTTTTTCACCCCTGACATTTAAAAGTCAGCCTTTGGACCAACTATCAATGAGTTTGTATATGACAAGAACCATGATCAGCAGTACACTTTACCTCTTCCTTAGGCCTTAAAATTTCTGTAAAAGAGGTGAGGCAAACAAGATTGGCATACATATATATATATATATATATACCACACACATACATATTCTGTATATTACAAACATTGTTATAATTCCAAATATGTTAATGATTTGGTGTACTGGGTCTGGCTGAGACAGGGCTAATTTTCTTCACAGCAGCCCTCAAAGTGCTGTGCTTTGTATGGGAAGCTGGAAAGGTGCTGGTAACACACCAGTCCTTGTCTACTGCTAAGCAGTGCCAGCACAGTGTCAACACTGTCCCTCTAAAATTTCCCCTCACCAGGAGGCTGGGCTTGAGCAAGATCCTGGGAGGGGACACAGGCAGAACAGCTGAGCCAAAGTGACTCCCATACCATAGGGTATTAGCTCAGCAATACAAGCCAAGAGAAGAGAGGAGGAGGAAGGCAGCATGAGAGGGAAAGGGGGCATTCCTTATTTATGACACGTCTTCTGGAGCAAACTCTATGCATGCTGAAGCCCCACTTCCCAGGAAGTGGCCAGAAACTACCTACTGATGGGATCTCTTGGTTTCCTTTGGTTCCATGTGTGGACTTCGCTTTTGCTTTAATAAACTGCCTTTAGCTTGACCCAAAATTTATTTCTTCAATCTTATTTTCTTTTTCCTGTTCTGCTGAGGAGGGGAGTGTCTGAGTGGTTTGGTGGGCACCTAGTGTTCAGCCAGGGCCATCCCACTATATTGGGACAAAACAGTTGGATTATTTTTTTTAGAATTATACAATGGCATGGAAACTCACAGATGTCAGGAAAATAACAGTGCAGCTAAACTAGATGCAACTAAATTTCAAGAAACACACAGAAATTAGCTTCCTAGGGGTACCAAAATTCTTAAACATTTTTCACAGAATTCCACAAGTGGCCTATCTGGAGAGGTACACTGATGTTATCCCTTGTACAGAGGAGATGTAGAAAGAGAAAAAAAGTACTGAGGTATGTCACCTTTCAGTTCTCTATCATTTCCCATTGAAATGCTGGTGTCAGGACTCTCACAGCTTGTTGTTAAACTCCTGAAGAGAGATGGACTGCATGAAAGGTTGTCTGCCAGTAACATCCACAGCAGTGAGACTATTAATTTTAATTTGCCATTAAGTTCTTGGACAGAGAGAGATAAAAGATGATACTAATGCCTCAGGTGCCGCATTTGACATCATATTTTCAGTAAGTGAAGCACCATCAGTGTTGTGTGAACTTGCAAGGGAAACATGGATTCTGAACCCACTGTACTAGACATACTATGAAGCCAAATCAATGATACTGATCCAAAATGTAAGAACATGCACACCAATCCCAAATCTGCTTAAGCAGTACTGTAGACTCTCATTCTAGCTTCCATCAAGAGAAATATCTGTCTTAGACTAATCTAAGAAATATCTGTCTCAGACCTTCAGAGAGAACTCCACAAGTTCAAGAGCTGGGCAATCACCAACCAACATGTTAAACATGAAGTTTAACACTGTAAAGTGCCAGATTCTGCACTTAAGATAGGGCAACCCTGGATGTACAGACAGCCTGGGGAATGAGGCTGGAGAGCAGCACTTAGGAAAGGGATCTGGGGGTTCTGGTCAGCAGAAAACTGACCATGAGCCAGCAGTGCCCTGGCAGCCAGGGGGCCAGCCCTGTCCTGGGGGCATCAGGCACAGCATGGCCAGCTGGGCAAGGGAGGGGATTGTCCTGCTCTGCTCTAAGCTGGGGCAGCCTCACCTCGAGTGCTGGGGCAGTTTGGGGTGCCACAGTATAGAGAAGACATTAAGGTATGAGAGAGTGTCCAAAGCAAGGCCACGAGGATGGTGAAGAGAGGAAGCCTTACGAGCAGCTGCTGAGGTCACTTGGTCTGCTCAGCCTGGAGAAGAGGAGACTGAAGGGAGACCTCATTGCAGCCATCAGCATTGCCACAGAGGGAAGAGGAGGGGCAGACACTGATCTCTTCACTCTCATGACCAGTGACCAGAAATCAAGGAAATGGCATGAAGCTTATTCGGGGGAGGTTTAGGCTGGATATCCATGGAAAGGGTGGTTGAACACTGGAAGAGGCTCCTCAGGGAAGTGATCACAGCACAAAGCCTGTCTGAATTCAAGAAACATTTGCACAACATTCTGGAGCACAGGGTGTGACTCTTGGGGTGTCCTGCACAAGGCCAGGCACTGGACTTGATGATCCTGATGGATCCCTTCCAACTCAGCACATTCTATGATTCTGTGATTCTTCATATGCAGCTTAAGTAATTATCCTCAGTATATGAGGGCTTCCTTTCTGGAACATGAGAAAAATAATTTCTTACAGGGGAGAGAACCTACCTAAGGACCTCAGCTAAGCCTGGACTGCACAGAAACATTAACATTCATTGCCTATTATTAGGTTACCAGCACCTTTCCAGCTTCCCATACAAAAAAAAAAAAAAAGGTACATGCAGTTACAGGGAGTAACTGCAACACAGTAGTTATTTCACATCTGATTCACATTTTTCAGCCTGGACAACAGAGAATCAAATCTGTAAAAACATCTCATTAAAAAAACCCTTAAAATAAAGTTATAGAAAATTATATGCTAGAAAAATTTCCATTGGCCTTTTTTCCAATTTAATTTCTAATAGCTTCATCTCTAAAGGTATTATTTTTGAGCAAGAGTATTGTAACATTTCTATAGAGCCAGAAAATTACTGCAACAAATTGAGAGAATGCCTAGGATGGTATATATTACATTAAAAAATAGAAGTCTAGACTTTGCCTCCTGTTGACTGGATGCTGTCTTTTTGGGTAATATGACTCCATATTTTAGTATACGGCCACTACCTATGTCTTCATATTCAGGGCTGCACATGAATACAGCTTTAAAACTGTGCATGAATTCCTGTTTTACTCTAACACAGAGAGTTCTCTTCTGAATAGTCACTGCCCCCTTCCAAAGTTTGCCTTTTAATGACTTTTTAATTGGAAACTTACAAAGGAATGAAACCACAATTTCCCATCAGCAACACTATTTCTTATTGTTAAAAATTTCTTGCAAAACACTATGTATTGGAAAAGAGCAGACCATGCCTAATTTGTGTATTGATAATTTATTCTACCAAAGAGACTCCACATAATATAATCTTTATATCCAGTTGCCAAGAAATAATTTTCAATCAAATGTCAATTTAATTAAACAGAACTCTTCCTTCCCTGATTTTACACAGATACAACTTCTCTGAGAAGCAAGAAAGCAAAATTTGAGTCTCACAATATATCTTCATTATTCTTCAAACTGCAGGCACCTAGTGTAACAGAATGACTACTGCTAGGTAACAGAAGATGTACTGTCACAGTCATTACCCAAAGAAATACCAAACACTGTCCATCTTGCTTAGATTGCTACCTTTGTGCATTCAATTAATTCTTTCCCAATCACACTTAAGACTATTAGGAAGAATAGTGTAAGACTGCATTCATTACCTGGTCAGAAAAAGACTGCAAGGAACAACAGAACTTCAGTTAAATATTTTTGAACTTAGGTTGCTACAAAATTGCTTTTTACTCAGTGCTATAGCATCCAAGTCAAACATTCTTTCTATTTCACTAGTAAATGCATAATAACAAAATACTTCCAAAACAATACACATTTCTATTTTTAAAGGCAGTAAGTGATTTTATCTTAAAAAAAAAAAAAAACCAACAATAAAAACAACTCACAAGGTTTATTCAACATGGCATTGGAATGTGTGACTACCTTCATGCTCATTCAGGTGGTTATCAATTGATCCTTACCTGTATCACCTGGAAAAATGCTGTGGCAAATAAGATTGCTAATGCTTTTCTAGGGCCAAAGCACAGTAAAATTCAGCAAAACATAACCATCTCATCTAGAAATACCATTTCCAAACCCTAGAAATTGAAAAATTATTGGGGATGAGCCAGTCATTCAAACTAGGAAAAGAATTAAAATAGAACCTATTTTTTATCTCCACCTTCTGGCAGGTTGTCATGATTTGGGTTCTCTGGCACAAAGAAAAATACCAGCAAGGTAATAGGGTGGAATAAACTGAACAGCCAAACAAAAAACAGCTACAAAATTTCACAGCAAGAAATAAGAAAGTAACCAGGATGAAATATAAAACAGTGTCTGAGAGGGAGAAGAAAACACAAGATGACTCAGAAAAAGACAGACAATTCAAAAATACATTTTATGCCTTTACTGAATGTACACAATACAAAGAATTGCTAATAGTACATTAGACTATTTATACAGCTTTTACACTGTATTTTTATATTGCTTTTCCATTGTTTTTATGCTTTCTTCATCTCTTTTCATAATGATTTTTTTTAAATTACCCACATTTACCAGATTCCATGGTCATCTGAAGTAATCCATCAAGAGCCCTGGAAAGCAGACTTGTACTGGATACTTTTAGGTGACTTAATACGACAGGCACACATTGGTATTCCACAAATAAGGCCTTCCCTTCATCTGTCTTCAAGTCTACACGAAGGGACTCAAATGCCTGAGCCAGGTAATCCACTGAAAATATCAGAATACAGGCAATAAAACTTTTACAATCATTGTTTCATTAAGCCATGTGAGCAACTACCTGACAGCTACCATGGCAGATAGACACTTAAACAGATGAAAATATTAAATTTACTTTTTATTTGAAGACACCCTCTGCCTATTTTTATTCCTTAACAATCCATTGTGAGTAGAGAAAAAGATTATCCACAATTCATATGTTTTAGAAAAATATACTTACAAATGTAAGGTCCTGCAAATATTTTGTTAAAGAGGAAAGAAAATACAAACTCAGATAGTTTGAGACAATGTTGATTTCAACATCTGGGAATCCTCTATTAAGGGAATCAGTGCCTGATTGTCTGAGTGAGAGCAATTATTTTCATGAGAGCAACTAGTCCCATTCCTTCTATAAAAAGCTGTATATTTCAGTATAAACATTTTATATTCTCATCCATTCTGAGAAATTATACAAAGGATGTAGATTAAGTGTACCAATCTATTTTCTTAACTTCTTGCTGTCAAATCTTCCTCAGTATCTTGGAATTGCCTTGATCATCTGGAGCAGAAGGAAACAATTTATCCTACTGCATAAGTTTAACTAGGATGCCATCTGCTGGATACTGACATTTTGAAGGAATGAGGACATATGTTCAAACCAAATCTGCTATTTTATCACCAGATCATTAGTGCCATGTGGTCAGAGTGATCAAAATTCATACACGGTGATATCTGACATATGTTTAACAACAGATCATATTTTCTGTGCTACAGCAACCAGCAGCACAAAGCAACCATGAAAAGCTAAACTGATTCATTCTAATCACAAGTGCTCATCTGCTTAGGGTAAATCAGTCTCTGCAATGACTAGTTTTTTATTTCAATTATTCTTGCATTGCTTTTATCAAACATTCCTAGAATGTGAGTCTCAATTTGAGACTAATTATCTGCTTCACCAAAATATGTTGACTGAAATAGTTCCCTCCAACAGCTGGAACACTGTGTTAGTTCATGAATGATGTCTGCACAGTCTTCCACCATGTTTTATTCCCATGTTTACTATCTAATTATCTGCTTCACCAAAATATGTTGACTGAAATAGTTCCCTCCAACAGCTGAAACACTGTGTTAGTTCATGATGTCTGCACGGTCTTCCACCATGATTTATTCCCATGTTTACTACAAATAATACTCACAATATAAATATTGCACAGGTCATCAAACAAAAAAACATACTAATCTGCTTAAACGTCAAATTCTGTGAATAAAAACTTTATTCATTATTTATGCATTTAAAATATTTGGCATTCCTGTTTCATGTCACAGATTGTAGTAATTTTGTGACATGGATCTCTGTTAAGAAATGCCCCGAAATTTAACATATTTCGTGGAAGAGACTAAAAAAATCAGATTCCAAAGCAGGCATCTGATCTTGACATTTTTGCATGGTATTGCAGGAGTACCTTGAAAATTAGCATCTCTGTAACCTGTATCAATCTCTTCAGGTTATTGAGAAAAGAAATGTGTTATGTGTAAAGATATTTTAAAATACAAACCACCTGAGCAAAAAGTTAGCAAAAATAGAAACATGGAAAAATTCAGGTTGGCATCTAGTCCAACATTCCAGCTGAAAACAGAACCATCTCTGAGGATAGGTTAGATTGTTCAGTTGTAACCCCATTAAAAAATTATTTGCTATCAAAAGCTTGATCCATGCTTTTAAAATATTTGTCTTTGAAAAGGGAAAAATAAGTGGTTAGTACCACAAAGAGTTGGAAAAGGGTTACAGAGATGTTTATTCTTATGCTATCCTAGTAAAATTTATTCTTGCAGAAAAGCCCAGTTTTGCAGACACACAGTTACTGCTAAGTTGCTGCAGGTAAACAGCAATCACATCTTACACCTGCTCTTAATGGTACAAAATTACTTTTCTGCCTGACTTCCATAAAAAAGGATCTGCAACACCTTGTTCCCTGTTTCTCCTGAAGAAATATAAGGCTTTATAACTGGAGGTAGCAGTTAACAAATCAGCTGAGAGAAGAGTTATCTTATTCTTTGAGTTGTATTTTCCACATCTTTACTCACACTGTCCAGACACAATCTGATTTCTGTAATCTCACAGTGTCTACTTTGAAACCTTTATCTTCTCCCCGCTCTTCAGAAATGCTGACTTGTCAAGTCATCATATTAACAAAAACACAAATTCTAACATAAAATGAATTATAGTAAGATTTATACTTGTACATTTTGCTTCACAATACCTAAGTGAAATCACTTTTCACTAATAAAGCATAATAGACTCCACAGTATCATTAAAATGCTTTTTGCCCAGGCACATGACTGAAATAGACAAATTAATGTAAAAAAAATCTTGACTTACCCTGTTTTACAGTTTTAAGCACAATCAAAGTTGACAGAAACCTCAGAGGCATACAGAAACTCTTAAAGAAAGCTGCTGACTTTGATTTACTTTCTGTAGACTGTTCAGAAGAACTGTGTGGGTTTCCCTTACTCACTATGCCTTTGAAGATATCTTCACCAAGTCTCCTCATGGTTGATCTCATTGTTGTGTGCTGCTTCAAACAGTGCATGTAGTTAGTGCAAACATTTTAACTTGACACACATATGTCCTCCATGCAATTAAACATTAAATTGCAAATGCTTTGACCATGTATAGGAATATAATCAGTATAGGAGATACTCCTTTGTTTCCAAAGCTGTTGAACAATATTAACATGGTGCCTTATCAACACACACTTCAGCAAGAGACTAATTAGTGAGGGCCCAGGATACTCTGATGTTCTTTAAGTTGCCTCTGGTTCCAGAAAAAGCTGCTTCAGTCAACTCAATTTTGTAAGCTTGTCTGAAGTTATATCATTTAAAAGCATTTACAGAATCAAGGTCTAAATACAAAGCTGAAGAACACTAGTAGAGGTAGAGGTACCATCTACTAGATTTTCATCATAAACTCTATAGAAATATTTCCACAGAATCAAACTTCACAATATGCTTGTTTAAAATATAGTTACTTACTAGAACTAAACCAAATATCTTACTATTGTATAGAATTTAAGCTCAGGATATTTACAAAGTTTCTAGCATTTGATTTAGCAAATGAACATTGACAGCACTATGCAGGGTCTGTACAGTATGACAACTGTCTTTTTCTTTATTATATTGCTAAGTATTTTCTTATGGCAGTCTAGTCAAAAAGAGCAAGGAATGTCTTGTGGTTAGACATCAAACAGAGGACAAAAATCAAAATTTCTTTGCTGCTTTGCCACTCATTTCCACCACTTTCAACAAATCTCATTCATAAAATACACAATAAAGTAACTGCTGTCTCTAGTGCAAGTTTTTTTAATACATATGCAAAATATATTTTCAAATGTGCTTAGACATCACAAAAGAGATCACATACATAGGGAAACTACATTTAGATACACAGTGCAAAATTTAAATTGAACATGAAAAAGAATTTGTTTTTCATTTGCCACTCTGCAGTCAACACTATGAATTTATGTTTTACAAAGACAGCAGTTTCTTTTCTATATGCTAGCTGAAAACATCCATTTTTCATATGTATTTAATATGCAAAATCCACTAATATCTTCTGTGATTTTGTTTTTAAAAACATACTGCATGAGAACTATTTATTTTACCTGTATATCAGTGTCTAACTGTCTTATAGACCAGTAAATAAATTTAATCACAGGCACGTGCAGTTTAGGATTCACATATGGCATCCACTGGAGTTGCTCAGTAGCTATAGGCAAAAGCTGCAGAAATATACAAAAACAGAATTACATGCAGTATATGAACTATTCTGTAAGCTAAGTGAAAGTGAAAAACAAATAAACCAACATCCTAACTTTCTCTTGTATCAGATTACATATGCAAGTGTTCTCTAGGCAGATCCAGTACAGCTAACAGAATCATATGCATACACAGGTGCTAAATTTTACATAGGTTTACATGTGGGAATGGAGATATATGTGAGCTCAATCTCATGTAAATCCAATCACAGTGCCTACAGATCTTTTATATAATGAATAAATACAACAAAGTGAATTTTCTGAACATATCACCAATTTCTAAATCTTGGTATCACAAGAGAAAACAATAGAGGTGTTGAAATACAGCATAGCATCACCTTTTGTTGGTGATAAATTGAAATTTTAAGATCTAAATAAGCATAGAAATATTTTAAATTTGACTTGTTGATCTCCTTCAAACAATGTATCACACATAATACACAAGAGAAGCTATCACCTCACAGAAGTCACTTGAAATAAAATGCTGAAGCTCTTAGGCTGAGACAGGACACTTTTTATTAAAAATTATCTGTATGTTTTACAAATGACAAATTATGTATTATATCTCAATGCTGGAATGAATATTGACTTACTAACAATTATTTTGTTGTAATTACATGATGACCTGTTATACTCTCAGAATCATTTAAAGCACAGTGAAATCTGAAAACATATTAACACAAGCAAACAACCCAAACCCCTTTACCTTCATACACTTTTCCTGAGTACAGGAGTTCTTTAAATTCTGGGTAACCCTAGGTTTATGACTGTCCTCTCTCTCTTCTTGTGTTTTTATTTTGCTAAGATGCTGGTCAGAGATCCAATCCATAAGATAAGTTAAGAGCTCATAGACTTGTGAATTCAATGGTAGCTGTAATATATTCACATCATCAGATATTTCAGCTTTCAATTTAATGCTTTTTCTAAGCTAAAACAGTAACAGACTGAAACACATGACAGTACTTTAGCTATGAAATGTTATGCATAATAGAAAGCATAAGAATTTTATGCCTGATAAAATCTGAGAGGTGAGTTACTGCAGTGTGAGCTTGTGGAAAATGTATTCAAGCAGACAGTGATCTTGAACAGGCTGTGTGTGCTCTGCTGGGCCTTGCACCTAGGGTTTGAGAAGCCTGTATAGTATGAATGTAACTGTAACTTACAGTATCTCTGGGAAAGGTAAACTGTCTGCAGATCAAAGGCTGGATGGTGGCAGTCCTGACTGGGAGACCCCTGCATATCAAGGAGTCAGAGACCCACAGCACAGTTAACCTGAGCAGGTGCAGTCTGTGCTGTGCTGCACAGATAACCAGCTGCACAGTTTATCCTGTGCTTGGCTGCAGGATAAACTCAGGCAGATCCCTCTTGGTACTGCTGATCCTGCCTGGCCTTGGCCTTGGCCTTGTCTAAAAAGGCAACAAGTTCTTCTCCCATGAATGTCCTTCACGAACAGAGTTGTTTTCTTCCAAGAAAATTAAATATATAAAATGAGTGGCCAAAAAGGAGGGGCTTCTTTCAATGGACAGGATCTGCTCAGCATGCCCTGGGAAAAGTCCACCAGGGCTCCATCTGATGCTGCACAAACACAACATTCCCAGCATCTAAAGGGACACAAGATTTACTCACTCTCTATATTCCTCCTTTTACTCTGTCTTTAATAGCCATTTAATGAAGCCATTTGTTGTCAGCCTTTCTTACAAGGACCCAGAAGGAACCCTATCACAGAACCCTGCAGTGTTTCTCTCTCTTTCTCTCACACCTTACTCCCCAGTGCAAAACAAACACCTATTGTGATGATTTCTGGGTGTGAAAAACATATGCCCATGATTTATTTTGTACTTGATCAAATGGTAGTAAAAGAGCTTGGAGAAAAATTCATACAGAATCACTACACTTTGTTATTCTGGACAAATGAAATACAGGAGAAAGACTTTAAAGTGTTTCACATTGGGAAATTCTTATTTCAATATACTAGACCTACTTAGTTTCATTTTATGCAATCCACTGTTGATAAATTTAACTGGGTAACTAGTATTGTTTGAAAAAAGAACAAAGACTTAATGAAACTCTGATCTTGGCTCTACTACATTGCAATGAAATACTCTACAAAAGAAATCCAGATATACCTGAAGACAGGCTGCATGAACAATTCCCTAAAGACCTCAAAACTTTTCTTCAATCTACCTTCAGATAACTGTTTTCCTCTTCACTCAGAACCATAACTACTGATACTATTTGTATTTCATGTGCAACCAAAGTATGCTAAAATCTATATAAAGAGAATTTGTTGGCTATATATAGACAGCACAGTTTTAAGGCATCCACTGTAGATCAATTAGATAGGGTGGTGTGAATATCTTTCTCATTTCACAGTTTACCTCTAGCTGGGAAAAAAAGCATAACCAGCTGGGAGATGTTGGCAGAGCAATACCATAAATGGAACTACATGGAGACCAAAAGAATTTCATTAAGGTAAGAAGGTTTTTTAAGGAAAAAAGGTGATTGTTTTAGAACCATGAATGAATGCTGCATTTAATCTCTGTTCTTCACTAAAGACTACATGTCAAAAAAATAGTAGCAATATACCACTTTTGGTTTAGAAGATTAAGATTCTTTATTGGATACTTCTGAAAGACTACTTTTACCTAGTGTTATTCATAAGGATAGTGCTGTACTGTAGCAGTAACCAGAATGAGTCTAAGATTTGTTCTGATACAGCAAAAGAAACCTGTGACAGTGGATGCAAGTTATAATTCTAATTGGCAGATGAAAGATAACATCATATAAGGAGGAAAACTTGCCATATAAATAAAAATATACACACATACATAGACATAAGCAATATGAAATCCAAGACATATTTTTAGCAGCAAACTTAATTCTTTGTTAAGTGTGGATTTTCCCCCAATATAATTTGTTTCACTTCTTAGTGTAACTTATAAAATTAAATTAGAAACAACATTTTGCAATTTCTAGCAGAGGCACACAGAATGTTACACAGCCTAATATCTTTCAAATTAAAAGATTCAAGACTTCTGCTTAATTCTTACCGTAGCAGTTCTTGATGGTGCCATCACTTTTTCCTGTTTCACAGGTTTGCCTTCTTTCATCACTTGACACAAATCATTAGATTTCTTTACCTTTGAAAATTCATGCTTCCTCTAAACAAAATATAACAATGAATTATATTTCACTGGTTGCCTATAAAAGCAGGTACATGTAAGAACAAAGCTTACTTGCAGATTTTCTAAACGAGCTTTTGCTTTTCGTGCTTGACCTTCCAACTTCTTGTTCAACTCAGTTGCATCACTTAACTGAAAGAAGCAGAAAATATTAAACTGTCTGTAAATTCAAAACTCACATCTTGACTTAATTATCACACTGAAGTAACACAATGTTGTTGAGCAGCTAAATTATTTAAGTATTTTCTTATTAGCATGAGAAGTAATGGAAACAAAATCATCATCCACCTCCCTCAACAAATTACAGAATCATAGACTGGTTGAGATTTGAGAGAACCTCTGGAAGACCTCAAGCTGGGCCAGGAAGAACTGGCTGCTATGTCCAGACAGCTTTTCAATAGTTCTAAGGTGTTAGACTCTTATCACCTGTGTGGACAACCTGTTCCAGGATAAGTAAGACAGCAGCAGTACCTCTTTGTTGACCTGCAGACCAACCTTTCAGATTGCAGGACAAGAATAAGCACTACAATGACACTCTAGATACACAGGCACTTCACATTTGATTGTTTTTTATGAAGCAGTGACAAAAATGCACTATTTCAAGAATGTTTTTGTAGTCTTGTTAATGGGGAAGGTGGTTACTGACCATGCTAAAAAACTAGTTTGTTTGGTGAGAAAAGATCAGGAAAACTGCAACCTCCATTTAAATAAACAAAACCCCCTGCTTTATCCATGCAACAATGAACAGCATGATCATCACAGAAGCCCTCAGTTTGCACAGAAATGCAAAGATTTTACAGTGAGAGGAAATAACAAGACAGATGGGTTGCATCAGAACCATCAGCATCCTAGGAGTTAGGTCTGACCTTCTTAAGGGAAAGGCTCTGTTGTAGATTTTTATTGTATTCAGATTATCAGAACATTAATTAGGTCATTAATTAGGTCAATGAATAAACAATGCTCAAATAATTTAGATAATTTATGTATCACCATTTTAGATCAGACTTAACAGTCAAGTGAGACAAATTCCTACTCTATGCATTACTGTGAAACACACCATTCTAGCTTACAAATTGAGAAAATACTACCTTCATTAAAAGTTGCAAAAATAACTGAAAATACTGATCAAACATGAAGTTAGAAATAAACATTCTACTTTTTATTTAATAGAATCAGCATAGCAATTTGGCCCAACAAATCTGCACAGGATAGATTCTATTATGTCATAAAATATTTTCTCTCCATCCATTCTCAATGCACTTTCCCTTCCTAACAATTAGCTGTTGCTAGTGAGTCAGTGGAATAAATCCTACTTTTTTTTAATACTGTAAAAGGTCAGAAAGGCTAAATTTCAAGTAGTAGAAACAGATGAGAAAAATACTTTCAATCATTCATACAATTCTTGTCTTAGACAAACAAAAGGTCAGCAATTTTGCAAACTCAAGCTACTCAAATATTTAAAACTGTTGACTGTAACTTGTAGAATTATTTATGACAGGAAATAATAAAGTTTACCTGCTTTCTTAAAGAGTCATTCACATCCCTCAAGCTGTCAAATGATGACTTCAGCCTCCTATTTTCTTTAGTAATTTCTCTCAAGGCTTCTGTCAGCTGCTTAACTTCTGCCTCATGTTGCTGTAGAAATATCAAATTTAAGAACATGTTTTAAAAGAGACTATTTGAGAAACAATAAGTTCCAGTTAAGTGTTAAAAGAGTTGGACAAACTTTCTCATATGAAGTTCTTCATGTCCAAATTTGCATGTTCAGTCAGCAGTGAGAAAGACAAGCTCTCTACTGCATTTAAGAAGGATCTATACAGAAACTGAGAGCAACATGCACAGCCTATAGCTCCTGTTGATGCCTATTCTACCCAGACCAACTACATACATGTATATTTCTCAAACAATTCAGATGTGGGATGCATTTGTGAACTAAAATCAGTGACAAAGCTTTTACTTACAGCTAACTCTTCCAAATATTTACAAAAGGTTGTGACTGTGCTTTGGGGTTTCAACTCATGTTTCTGGCTTTGCTTACTCTGAATTACACAGAGTGAGAAACTAATCCTATGCTTTGTAGAGACTGGGGCTCTGGGTTGCAACACAAGCATATGAATTATTAAGTACAACCTGCATATCCACTGCCGTTCATCTCTTAACCCTGAAATTTGTTTTATATTAAATCTTCTCTGAACCTGAGACTTAAGTACCTCAGATCTGATAAAATAGCAAGGTTTTACTTTTTACTGAAAATATTCTAACATTCATTTCTCCCCTTCCAATAATTCACTCTTCTTCACTACTTTTTCTTTCCACACCCCCAAAGTCAGGGTGGTCTTCCTCCAAACTTTTTGAGCCTTTGTTTGCTAGTACTCTCTGCAATAGGTGTTATGTCAGAAGATCTCAATGTGTCTTAAAGCATTCCCAAGGAAATCCACTGCAACTACAGCTAATGCAAAGACACGCATTTAACTTACACAATTACAGACAGACCACATTTTTTTCTCTAATATTAGTCACATAGCTTTCATTATTTTACAAAAAAAAAATTACCTCAGTTTTCTAACTTGTAACTGTAAAATGAACTACACATCAGACAAGTAAATGCACCATTCTGAAACAGAAGTCATACAAAAACTCTAGCAATATTGTTCAGTACTTTTTATTTAAATCTTTTCTTTGGGGATTTCAAGGGTTTCAAAGAAACAAGCAGGATTTCCAGCAAAAATGTGATGGCTAGGATAACTACAAATTAGTTAAAGGGCATATAGAGCAATATCTATCATTAAATATACTATTTCACCTCTTTTATAGCTGCAATTTTTGTGTGAACTTCTTCCTCCACACCTCTTATTTTAGCCAAAGCTGCTTCGTGTTGAAAAAACAATGCTTCTTGTTCTGTTACACAACGCTCTCGTTCCTGCAGCTGCAGAGCATACTCCTGCTGTGCTGAACTTTCTCTCTGTATCAAGAGAAAAAAAAGTTAAACTACTTTAAAAACCCACGTGAAGTTTTCCCAAATTATGCTGAATTTAAAATTTTGTCCCAGAGATACATTTAGCTCTTTGTGAAATTACAGTTACACAAGATCTTACTAATACAAAGTATCCTGACAGCCACCTCTGTTCAGTTTCCTCCCACATTAACCCAAAAGACCTCCACGTGCATTGGAATGGCTCAGCCTCCCAAAATGCAAAATTCAACTTTGCTCCAGAAAGTTAAACTTTGGCTTTTGCTTCCCAGATATTTGGATAATGGTATTAACTGTAAGACAGAACAGAGTCTGATGTGACTGTCTGTGTTGAACACTAGATTAATGATATTGTTTCTTCAAGTAGTGAGAAGCATCCCTGAAAAAGCAGTGAAGAAAAAAAGAGATACAAAATTATTTTTATCTCACAAGTTGCAAAATTAAGTCATGGCAGGGAATGCAACAGAAGCTTAGTTACTATTACAGAGTAAAACCATATAGGAGGTTCTTCTACTAGTAGCCTAAACCTGCTGGAGATGAACTGGTGGGATGAAAAGAGGGATTTTGGAGGAGGCCATGAAGGCAAGCACTTTGGAATGCCTAGAGCCAGGAGAACAGTTTCAGATGTTCTCAAGAGAAGCAATGGTTATGAGTGCTTCCCTCTACACACACAGTGTGTCATGAGACAGTCTTGGATGTAGAAACACTGTTCCAGCTCCCTCAAGCTGAATCTGCCTACCTACCCATCCACCTGGTCTACCCAAAATTCAAGTCAGAGCATCATTACTGAATCACTGAATTAATCTAAGGGAAGAGGCAGATGAGGACACAGATTTTGTTTATAAGTAATTTCATATTTATTTTTCAAAAGTGAGAATATTTATAGCGTTATTCAACAAAAATTTGAAGGTGATTCCAGTTCCTACCTGGAGCTTCTGATGTATGACAAATAATTCATCATAAATTTGACTGATGTGAGGTGGTATCAAACCTTGCCTATTGCATGCCTGAGCACCGGTTCCATGCATAATTTTCTTTAACAAACCATGGTTGTTAATTTGGTCCATATTTTCCGGAGTATTTGCAGCCAAATGAGATGGTAAAGTGAGGCCTGTGGACATGGAAAAAAATGCATTTTACATTAAAAAATCAGACCTAGCTAAATATTGATATGATTTTTGTACTAAACCAGGAAAAATGTGTTCTAGGAATTCACAGTTACAAGTACAGAGTGAGATGTATCAAAATGTGAAAGTAATCTAAAGAATTACAGAAATTTGTTTAAAGTTCTTGTTTCATGATTTATTAAAACTGATCAAGAATCAACAGTTGTATAAGTGAAACTAAACCCTCCACTGCAATATAGAAACCCCAGAGACAGCTGCATGGAATCTATGCACAGACTGAATCATGTCACCAAAATATCCTATCATTTTTGTAAGGGCTTCAGGCAAGTGATTTGCTGCTGATTAGACCTTAGGGTGACATCTAACAGGACAAGACTTAAGAAACATCTTAAGATGCCACATGAGAAAATAACGTTAGTATTGCTCCAAGTATGCCTGAACCTCCTAAAATAATTGTAAAGAAAGTACTCATGTGAAAGATAAAATCCCCACACTAAAATACATTTTAGATGAGTAGTGTATTTCTAAATTGAACAGAAATAAATTTACTAGGAAGTTTTTTTAAGTTACATGTTATACTTCACAGAGAGTTGTAAGAATGTAAAAAATTAAGTCTTTATTACCTGTTCCCGTGTATATAGCTGTATTCTGAATTGCATCAGTTTCAGAGCAAATAACACTGTTTTCTTCTACTTCCAGACCACTTGAACCACAAAAATAATCTTGCTCATCATCAAAACTAAAAGTACAAAAGAGGATTAATTTTAAATTACTCAATTCCTTTCTAACATGATACATAACAGAGACTGAAACAAGTCTGTATAAAAAGGCAAACATTGCTTAATGTAAGACTTTGATATTTTACTGATAACAAATAGCAGAGTTAAATCATTTGGATGAAAGGCATTATAACTCACTCTCAACCACAGAAATTACATGTTGCTGACTTAAAAGTTGTTACAATAACTAAGCTTTTCATGCTGTAAGCACATGTAAGGAACAGGTAAAACCAACACTCTTCTCTCACCACAAACCACCAAATTCCTGGAGAACTAAAAATACAACCCCTCTTTTTAAATTATATTTTCCTGTTTGGTGTAAAATAGCCCTTAAAAGAGATTTCTTGGCATTTGGAATTGAATTACTGCTAAATAAACATAAATCTGTTTATCAGTCTGGGCAATTCACTTTCCTCCTAGTTAATTTTTTTATCACCTAGTTAAGTTTATGTCATTCCTGTATCCCCTTAGCAATTCCAACATACACAGATTAGATCAGAAAGTAAAACAATATTCCTCATCAAAATCAGCATCCTCATGATCACATAAAATAGCTACAAACATTTCTTGACTTAACAAGAAAACAAGAAACTTAAAACAACTTTTACACAGTCCAAATACATCTGTTTTATTTACGGTTTTATGAGAAAAAAAATAAAGGAGAAATAAAAACACCTCCTACCAATCCCAGTTTTCCAAACTTTTCTGGAAATCACTAGATCTAATGCCCTTCTGTCTTCCAGTTTCAGTAAATTCTGACTCTAAAGAACATTTGATAAAGAAATAGTTATATTTTTCAGTGAGCTGTCAGTGTCACATGAAATATATAAAATTGCAACAATTTTATTTCACATTTGAGAAGCTGACATTAAGAAATCAATAAGGACTTATTAGAAATACTTGCCCTGTAGTCTATGTAGATATAAGAACCAAAACCATCACTCATGCAGCCTGAAAAATTACAGACTTAATTCTAACAGCTTAAGGCATAGTAAGAATTATTTAACTTTCACATATGATTTGTCCTTCTTAAATGCTAGAGCTTGTCTGCCTATAGAAATTTTTCTGTAACTGAAGTCTGACAAATAGCCAGCTGTCTCCATGCACCAATTTCTGAAAGAGACCAAATGCATTCTAGATATTAAACATTTATGTATCTTTAAATTAAAGCTAAATACATGCATTATGAAGTAAACTGCTACCAAGTAATTCAAGCAAGACTTAAAGACAAACAAGCTGTGAACCATTGCTCCAAAACATCCTTGGCACTTTTTACTTGTAAACATTCCCAGACTGGCTCCCAGGTATCACAACCCTTCTATTTAAAAAGAGAAAATATAAAACTAAATAAATTTAGGAACAATGCAGCTTTAGTATACATTTTCCCTGTAAAAGGTATCAAAGAACCATTGCTTTGCATTACCTTTGTAAACTAGGGAGCTTCTGCTTTTACATTTGGTGTGCAATGCCCCTGAGAGGCAATCCTACAAGAAAGCACAAAACCATTGAACTCTAGTCGAGGTTTTCATGGAAAAAGGGTGTCACAACTTACTGGTTTAACACTGGTTAAATTCTGGTTAATTAAACACATTAAAAGAATTAAACACTGGTTTAATTCATACTAAAAACTACTGGCTTTGTAAAGGGAGGGGTTTTTTTAAATACATAAATGTAAATGGTCCTCATATTAACATAAAGAGGCAAATATATTCTCTAGAGTCTAATAACAAAATACTTGTAGTGCTCTATGTTAGAATATTTGAGAAACTATAAAGCACTATGAAGACAGTAACATAAAATAAAGGCATGGAAGTAGATAGGTAATCATGGAAACAGTGCCATCTACCTTCACAGCTAGGCTTTTTACGCCAAAGTTTCCTGCTCTACTATTTCTTACTAATTTATAAATACATACTAAAAGAGTGAATGACAGAAATTTTAGGCTACAAACAAAATCAATTAAATGCACATTACAAAATATCAGACTCAAGGCAGCTCTCATGATCTTGTTTCATTGCATCTCTCTGCTATGTTGTAGATCAAGTGATCAGTTGCTGTATTTTCCTGCCCTTGAATGACCACTTTTTAATGAAATAACAAAGCACACAAACACGTTTTCAATGAAAACACTGAAAACAAACACATTTCCTCCTTGCAAGCATTAAAGTCTCAGTAAGAGTTTTTCTAAAAATAAATTTTTAAAATTACTTTTCTTTAAAGTACAGTTCTGTAATTCAAAGCAGAATATTCCCCAAGAAAAATTCCTCAGAGAATCTAAAACAGCATCACATGCTATTCAAGTTGCAAATCCTTCTGCAGGAACTAAGGGCACATACAACCTGATTTCAGCTCAAAATCTTCACATCACATTTGAGATGACTCCTGATCCTAAAATGGCAAGCTACTCTTCCTAAGAGAAAAAAGGCTGGGTTTTGTATTCATTGATGATTCCCAGGACTAACTCAGTATCCCAATCCAACTATGCACCTAACTCAATTTCATTCTCTCCCAGTCTTGGGTTGTTCGTGGTATTTTTCCACCATACAACTTCCACTGCAGCACAAATCTGAGCACTTAAGGCCTTTTATCCCCCAGACACACTGGAAGCATTTGACCCAGAATAGAGATGCATGAAAACAACTACAAAAGTTTGTTTCACTGAGAGACAAACAGAATTCAGGCAGAATAAAGGTGCCTGGCCAGCAAGAACTCCTTCTGCTAAGTATCAAAGGACAGCATGGGGGAAGGGTCTTCCTGCTGAATTTTTAGGCAGATCAGTTTTGACTTGTCAGCACAAGTAATAAAAAGAGAGGAACCACAATACAGTTCCTCCATTCATCTGAGTGCAAAGAACTCAACCTTCTCTGGTGTAAAATAACATTGCCGTACCTTGGCAAGGGACTGACACCCATCATAATTAACTTGAACCACGGGTTTGATTCCTTATTGACTAGATATAGAACAATTTTATGCTCTCTGACAACAGAGCTAATCACTAAGCTTTACCAAAAAAAAAAATAAAATATCACAAACACACCTAATGCATTCTAAGGCTGTCAATGACTGTGGCAAAACCAAAAACAAACAAACAAATGAGTTATCCTATTATATGTTTCTTATAAGCTTAACATACTCCTAAGAGGATTCACATATTTTCTCACTCAGCTGGCAGGGACCAGGTCTTAGGCAAAAACTGCATGCTAAACTGTGTCTTGGTACCGCGTACAATCTGGAATTGCAATTTCCAGGGAAATTTTCTGCTCGGACAAAGAGGACTCGTCAGCAGCTGAACTCCGCGGCAGTCGGAGCGCGGGGGCAGGGGCAGCAGGAGCACGGAACCTCCTCAGGGCGGTTCAAACCCCGCTTTTGTCCCGCACTGCCGGGCACGCAGCAGCGCGGCGCTCACAATGAGCCCGAGGCAGCAGCGGACAGCCCCCGCACACTCCATCGCTCCAGAGGAGGACGTGGCTTTTCTGTGCCGCCTCCTCCTCCCCGCAGGCCGCCCGCCCCGGCCCCGTCTCACCCCCGCCGGCCCCCGCGGGCAGCGCCGCTGCAGCCCCCGGGCCGCCATGGCGGTCATCATCATCATCATCGTCATCGTCAAACACCGCTCCTTTCCACCCCCGGCACGGCGCCGCCCGAGAGCGTCGCGCTCAACCCACGACCGAAGAGCACCCTGGCAACTGGACCGCTCAGTGCCACCTCCTTAAACATCCCCAGTGACGGTGATTCCAACACGGCCCCAGGCCAATGCCCAGCCAGCCTTTCTGGGAAGAACTTCCTCCTGCTGTCCTACAGTGCCCTATGGCCTTGGCACTGGTTGCCTGGGAGAAGAGGCCAAAACCAGCCCCAGCTCCAGGCTCCTCTGAATGGTTGTGGAGAGCAGTATAGTCCCCGAGGACAGCTGAAGACTTATTACTGCCATCCTTTAAAAATAAATAACCCCCCAAATAAAGCAAATCCAAATGCATGTTGCCCAGACCAGAGGTGTAGACTGTAAGTTTAAATACACCCCACCTTTACCCATGCATTCTCACTCTAGAGAGGCAAAGCTGTCAAAGGTACGAGCACGCTGGAATACAAAAGCTGGAGCCCGCAGTAAAGGCAGAGAAGTTGGCTCATAAACACTGAGCAGAGTCGGAGTGTCATACTTAATGTACATCAGGTAAAATACCAACGTTAAGTAGACGTTTTTCATTAAGCCAAGATTCTTAG